TTTCTTTGCCAAGCTCTACAGACAAGAGCATCACTCCATGGCCCCCATAGTGGTGAAAAACCTCAGCCCAAGGTCTGAAAGAGCATATTTCCAAATTTGAAATCATTCAAATATTATGTCCACATCAGAGAAAGGTGGACATTCTAAATCCAGTTTACTCTCACAAACCCTCCCCAAAGTCCTCCGGACCAAGGTAGATAAAATCAATTTTACAAGCATCACAGAGTGCTTGAAAGACTAACCAGTACACTGTTTTTATTGGCAGTGGGCCAAGGGTTTAACTTGATGCTGGCAGAAGAGGCTGGAAGCTAGGAAGTGGCAATAGCTTTTGACAAGCCCCTGCTGCTTGAGACCCAGCTGTCACTAACCTCTGACAGGAGGGTCCATCTTCATACCACTGCCCTGGAGACACTTATATGTGGAAGCTGATTGATGCCACTGTGGGAAACAGACAACCCAACCCTGAAGTTGCCAGAGTACATCCTCTCTTCCCCATCCAGCCCTGCTCTCTGGCTTCTCTCTAGCCTCCAGCCCCTAAGACAAAGATCACCTTGGACAGAGGGTGAGGGGATCACCTTGGAGTATGAGGTCCTGCCAGCCAGTCTCAGCCTCTGCAAGCCCCAGCTCCAACCTTTTCCCCAAAAGATGCTTCTGGCAGCACGCCTGGTGCTGGCAGAGATGACAGGGCATAGACCACAGGCCTCTTCGGGGTCACTATCCCCTGAGTCCTCACAAAAGGAGGCATCTACGTGAGCTCTTCCCAAACATGGCGTTTGGCTCCCACTTCCTAACTTATATTTATAGGATTCTGTAGTTCATCCCCTAATCCTGAAAAAATGCTATATAGAGACAGAGGTCTAGATTAAAACCTGAACTCTCATCCACAAGCATCAGCCGCAGAATAACTTTTCATCCTCGAACCCAGTTTCTCCATTCTATGAACTACAGTGGCAGAGTTATAAGAACTCAGTCTCCTTTTCTGTGTGACACCCTGGGAGACAGAATTCAGGCCCAGCTAATCTCCACACAACTGATGGTTTTGGAGCAATGCCCTGCACATGAAAGGGTCCAGTAGCCAAGCAGTGGTGCTGCACACCTTTAATCCCAGTGCTCAGGAGGCAGAGGCAGACAGATCTCTGAGTTTGAGGCCAGCCTGGTCTATAGAGTGAGTTCTAGGACAGCCAGGGCTACACAGAGACACCCTGTCTTTAAAAAACAAAACAAAACAAGAAAAAAGAACAAAAAAGGAAAGAAAAAGAAAGGGTCCAGCAAAGGCTGAGAGATGAATGTATATGGAGGGCAGATGGATGGGTCGATGGAGCAAAGAGGCGGGGTGGGATGGATAGGTAGGTGAATGTATGAATGGATGGGTAGGCAGATAGATGTAGGTATGCATATGTGTGTGTGGGTTGGTGGGTGGGTGAATAGATGGACACATGGACAGATGGTTGGATGGACGGACAGACGGACGGATATATGGATGGTTGAGTGTATGTACCCAATTCTATTACCTGCTCAGAAGATTAATAGAGAAGGGACAAAGTGAATCCCCGGTCACCTCTGGGTACTTTTTATCAGGGGGTCAGCTTTTACAGGATACCCTTGGCACAAACTATGATTTTGGCCCTTTCAGAGTCTATAGCCATAGAAAGTCTACTTCTTGGGCTGGTCAGGTCCCTGCCTGGAGGGTGGGGCTGCATTCCTCCATTCTAGTTTACAATTATCTTGAGATTTCACCTTAATAAGAGTCAACTGGGAGGGGTCTTATATGGCCCCTGCCTCTCTGGCTCAGGCAAGCATACCTGAGTGGCTCAGTGTATCCTTTCTTAAAACCTAGATTGTTCACAGCTCCTGAACTTGAATTTACAGTCCAAGTTCCCAGTCTAGTAACTAAAGATCCCAGAGTTGCACCTCGGTTACTCAAAGCACCCCCACACACTCAGCTCATGAGAAGGGAGGCAGTCCACCAGCAGGCACCAGCTTGGTATGGTTGGCAGGCTAGGGCTTGAGCAGAGGCGTGGTCACTTGGAGTACCCACCTTACAGCCTAGTTCTGAGGGTCAGAGGAAGCTACTGAGGTGCCTGTATGTGGCTGTCTATCATCCTTGTTAGTCAGAGGACCGGGATACAGGGCCTGGCCACACTGCAACTATGTCTCCCTCCTTGATCTTTCAGAATCCTCGTCAACATGGACAACAACATCATCCAACATTACAGCAACCACGTGGCCTTCCTGCTGGACATGGGAGAGCTGGATGGCAAGATCCAGATCACCCTGAAGGAGCTGTGAGGGCCCAGCCTCAAGCAATCCATCCCCGAGGCCTTGCTCAGGCTATGTGCAGCCTCTGGATCAGCACTGTTACTTGAAATGCCTTTGTCAAATAGAGGTCTCTCAAGCCACAAACTCAGTGATGTCAAGGCCAGGGAGGGACCATGGAGGCCGCAGGATCTAAGTGTTCCATGCAGACTTGAACTCACTCCAGAGCCTGCTGAAAGTACCCATCCACCAGAGACCAAGAGTCCAGGTCAACACAGACCCAGCTGCCTGCCTGCCTGCCTGCCTTCTCTAAGTCTCCTGGCAGAGGCCTGGGGGGGGGGGGGTACAGCACCCTCTCTGCAGGGCTACACCAACTGCCTTGATTGATTCTGATCCTCTCACTCTATATCCTTCTGCCAACTTCGGACCAAAGGATTCTCATTCTTTGGCCAATTAACTTGAAAACTCTTGACTTTTCAGAACAAATGCTTTTTTAAGGATGCTGGAGGGGAAACCTTTCCTCACTGACTTCCTCAGTACAAGATGTAAGCCAGCATCACAGAGCTGACAGAAGCAAATCCAAATCTCCTTGCCACCTGCTGTTGTACACATTTCTTATTTACAGTTTTCATTGTGTGATATATATATATATAAATATATTGTATATATATGCAACATTTTGTATGTTCATGTTACATTTTTAACATTTCAAAGATATGTATTTCGTATTTCTTGGACTATTTTTTTTTAGCTGTTATTCGATTATACATTTTGTATATCATAGGATTTAGTAATAAAAGCCTATCTGTGCACACTTCCCCGGCTTCACGTGCTCCGTCCTTGGCTTGGGTGGAGGAGGCCCTTCCTCTTTCTCTCTTCATGTGGCATCTCGTCCTGCACTTAAAGGCTGGGAATGAACATTGCACTCCAAACAGAGGTACTCACCCCCAACAGGCCATAGAGTCCATATGTGGTCTCACAAGACTAATTGTCATGAGGGTGGGGGGGTCTTGATGCTGAGAGCAAGACCTGGAAAGGTGCACAGTGGCAATGATGAGGTCCTCACAGAGAGGACAATAGACAGAGCCCAAGGTTGGGACCTGTGCTACTGAGACCTGAGCCAACTCTGCCCCTACTCTCCAGACTCATTTTCTCTGGACCCAACTCATACTGGCCCCAGAGGCAAGGACATATCACTTCTTCTCAATGGTTCAGCTGTGCATCACATTGGTACCCTGTGGCCTTGTGGGAATGTATAGACCTCAGGGACAAGGGAGAACTACAAACCAAGCATCATATTCTCCAGGGAGCAGACCAAAAGGAGGGACTGCTTTCCTGCCTGCCTTCCTTCTTGCCTTCCTCTCACCCTCCCGTCTTTCTTTTCTTTTTTTCTGCAGCCATTTCCCTAGCAATAAAAGCACAGTGCGGCCCTCACTGGTCACAGCTGTCACCTCAGGACCTCAGCTCTTCAGGGAGTCTCAAAGATCCAGGATGTAGGGAAGGGTGGGCACCCTTGTCTTCAATCCTAGCAGCTCTGCTTCCTATGAATTAGGATTTCTTATATGTCTGAACAAGACTTTTAAAAAGTTTATGTGAGTGGCTGTTTTGCCTGTATGTATGTCTGTGCACCACGTATGTGTACTTCTGTTTGTTTGTTCTGAAAGTTTAAGAAGCAAGATCCCTTGAGCATTTCCCAATTCCAACAGAATCCATGGTCAAATATCACAAGCCCCGCCCACAGTCAGCACTGGGATACTGGCTACACGATGAGGAGCTGGCCTCAGACAGGACAATGACAGGATGCCAAAGGGCCCAGCAATGCAGTTAGATTGTAGTTTAATGCATTGGGGGTTGGTTGTTATGACTCTTGTTTTGTTGTTATTTATTAGACAGGGTCTCACTGTGTAGTTCAGGCTAATATTAAACTCTCTATCCAGAACACTAGAGTTACAGATGGACCCAACAATGCCCAATCTAAAATCATTTTAAAATTAAGGCCAAAGATCCACGATGAACAAAAATCTCAACATTTTAAAGACGGAATCTATACTAGTTATGCTTCCTTTGCCTGGCGCTTTGACATGGTTGGCATGGCCCTGCTCATGGAGCATTCAGAGTTGCCACCCACCCAGTTAGGTTCCCTGCTGCTGGGACACCACACTAGACAGTAGAGCAAAGTGATGTGTAAGGGTGATGGGCAGTAAGGCAAAGTGACTGACAGTACCAAACACATGCCAGGACTCCATGTGTGTGGAGTTCCTTCTTAGCTTCTACACAGCTTCTTCTTGGATGCTCAGAGCAAGGAGGAAACCTGGGCAGTGGGGTAGTGGGAGGAAGGGGGTGATGATAACCTCGATGGCATATTGGAGTCATCTGGGCAGCCTCTACCTTGCCCTTCTCACCACCTCTGTCCGAGTGGCCTGCTTCCTGGTATACTTGGAGAGACAGTCATTACTCGGTGGAGCAACATGATGAGGCCTGTTGTAACTTCTGGTACATTGTCAGCCTCTGCCCAATGTGACCCAGGATCAGGGGACTCCAGCCCAGCCAGTCCCTAGGATCAGTATGACCAGAAGCCCCCATGTTTCCTGGGTATACCAGGTTACCTCATCATTCCAAAGCCCCAGCTTGTAGGAATCTCAAGTTCACAAAGAGCCCAGCTTCTATGAGAAGGAAACTTCCATTTAATTGAATGTTTCTTCATCCCTTCCTTCCCTCTTACTCACCCCATCCCCACCCCCAGGAGAAAAGCCAATCAGGGAGCCAGTCCAGATGTACAGTTCCCAGAGAACTTCCTTTCCAGGCATCCTGGAAGGAGCTCAGGGGCTGGAGGAGAAAAGGAAGCCCAAGAGGATCCCATCTAGAACAGTGGCAGACATTAGCAACACCTGGGGACAGAAAGGATGTGTGGTCATTTTAATGTCTTGGTCAGCTGTCCGTCCATCTAGCCATTGCAGACAAACCATGATCTGTTAAAGACACTGACCAACTTAGAGACTGTGCTTCCTCAGAACTGGGGTGGGAAGTTAGGAAGACGACAGAGACCCGGCCAGGCAGAGGCAAGGTTGGGGAAGTGAGATCATGAAGGCAAGGTACACAGAGGTTTTCCCTGCCCTGGGGACCGTGGTTCCAGGCCTCTAGCTCCAACTGGATCCTCCCTTGCCTGGTGATGAATACAAGTCTATGGGTGATGAGTGATTCATGACAGGTTTCCATGTTCATGCTGGGTCATAACAAAGCATTAGCTGAGAGCAGGGGTGCTCAGGGGATAGCCTTGTGCTTCTGTTGTGGAGCCCTCTGGGCCTCCTGCCTCCCAGAAGTCAAGGACAATTTGAGGTCAGGGCCCATGGACCAGGACTCAGAGCCCTGGCTGACTGGCATCTAAGCGAGGAATTCACCACAGGCTGTCTTGACAATAGGCTGGGGCTGCACCTCAGAGTCCAGGCTTCAAGATTCCTCAACTCTGGGGACGGGAGTCACCAAAACCAGCTTGGAGGCTGACATGGAGGTAGCCAGAGAGCTCTACTCCTCTTTTCTACTCAGGAAAGTATAGAAGGGCCAGGGGTAGCCAGTCTCCGGAAGGCAGCTCCAGACAGTGTGTGACCCTAGGCTGGGTGACAGAGGAAAGGTGTGTTCTGCTGATGGGTGGCCAGGAAAGCAGGATCAGGGGGCCTGGCCAGATGAGCTTCTCCATGAGTTCCTGTGGCATCATTATATCACTGGGATCCATTTGTTGTCCTCATTGTAGAGGAAGGATTGCTTTCCAGGGATCTCTGGCTTGTATGTGGCTGAAGAGAAAGAAAGACATAGCATCAAAAGAAAGCAGTGGCTGCAGGGGCTGGCCTAGCCTCAGAGCTGGGAAGGGTAAGGGAGCTCTGCTCCTGTCCTGCAGCCTACATGTGTTGAGACCAGAGATAGGAAGCAACTGGTCTTGTGTTACACGGCTCTTTCGTTGTTGTTGTTAAAGGTAGGGGAAGAGGCCCACCTCCAGGTATCTTCCTCTACCCGCTCCACTTTTAGTTTGAGATAAGGTCTCTCATCAAACCTTCAGCTCTACCTGCCTGCATCCTGGGTCACAGGCTCACACTGTTGACTCTGGCTTCTGCATAGATGCTAGGGGTCCAAGCCTGGTCCTCAGGCTTGCACAGCAAGTGCTTAACCTACTGGGCCATCTTCCCAGCCCTGTTACATGGCTCTTAACTGTCCAAGGCTTGCCTCTGAACTGTGGCTTCTGACATTCCTTGACTCTTTATAACTTCTACAACAGAGCTAACTTTACAATACTGCTTTCTAGAAAATATGAAATGAAAATTTTGAATACAACAGTATTCTTGAAAAAGAGAGGGTTTAAGTTGATAGGGTTTTGTGTTAGTGCGAAACTTTTCAGAAAACTGAAAGCTATGGCCAATGTAAGACATATTTCTCTAGCAAACAAGTCATGGGAGCCACAGACCCAGGATCTCTCCCATGTTCCCTCAGAAAGTTGCTGAGAGGAGCCCATGGGTCCAGGCAGACTTACACCTGCTGGAGGGCACCGAGACAGATGTATGCATGTGCATCCTCCTAACACACCCTCAGGGTCATCTTGCTGGAGGCAACCACAGTAACAGGAATGGCCTGTTGGAGCCTTGAGATCCATGCTTCAAGAACCCCTTGTGTGCATCATATTCCAACACCATTTCCAGAGGACCCAGCAAAACAGCCAGACCTAGAGCCCCGCCCATACCCAGGCCTCTGGAGCTCTGAGTTAGAACCCTGTTCTCCTGCACTGGTCAGACACCCTCTAGAGCAAGACTGCAGCCTCTCTGACCTGATTGTCATACATTTCCAAAACCAGAGCTGGGAGGAGCCTGGCCTCCCTCCCCAGTCTCCTGACTACTTCCTGGTCTATGGGTGAGAGACAAGGGAGAGGCTCTCTCCTGCCAGACTGGTGCCTCTGGAGGCCAGCACCAGCCCTAAGTCACCTCAGCTCAGAATGGGAGTATCAACAGTGCTTGCCTAATGGCTGAGTGTGAATGACAAGGTGGCCACCTTGTCAGTTCTGCTTTCCAGTTCCTGTGCACATGCCACATGCCACCAGCTCTGGCCATTGTCAGAGTGCGGCAAGGGGAGCTCGAGAGAGCTGCAGATGGGTAGAGAAGCACAGAGACCACCCACCACTGTGGAGTGAGCCTCTGGGGATAAGAAACTGCCTGTCTTGGGGGAATGGGCCCCTCAGGTTGTTAACTCTCAGGGAGAACTAGATGCATTGATCAAGCTCCTAAGGCTCATAGGTTGGGAGGGAGGAGCTAAGTGGCTTCAAAGAACCACTCCCTCAGACGTCTCTGGTGTCCATCACAAAGAAGGCACACTGCCTGGGGACTCAGCCCTACCACAAATGCCAAGCAGTAGACAGCTTGCCCTTCAGACCTGATCTAGCTTTAAAATTCCTTGGCCAGTCTAGACTTAGAAACACTATGGCCCTTTCCTTCTAGTACAATGCCTGGGCCTGGGACAATGGGACAGTAAAGAGCCAGTCACACAAGCATGAGGACCTGACGTTAGCTCCCCAGAGACCATGGGGAAAGCCATCGTGATGGCATGTGCTTGTTACCCTAACACTGGTGGCACCAAGACAGACAGACCCCTCAGGCTCACTGCCAGCTGCCTAGCACAATCAATGAGCTTTAGGTTCAGGGAGAGAGCTTGTCTTCAAAAATAAAATAAAAGTGGCGAGATGACTCGGTGGCTTAAAGCACTTACTGCCAGGCCTGACAGCCTGAGTTCCATCCCCAGGACCCACAGGTTGTCCTCCTGTAGCCACACATGCCATGGAATGAGAGAGAGAGAGAGAGAGAGAGAGAGAGAGAGAGAGAGAGAGAGAGAGAGAGAGAGAGGACGATAGGAGGGAGGAGAAGACAGGAGAGGAATGGAGGGGAGGGAAAGAAAGAGGGGAGAGGGGAGAGGAGCAGACAGAAGGGGGGTTGGGAGGGCAGGGGGGAGGAGGTCTGTGAGGTGTACCCCAGCCAGTGCAGTCACTACCACCCAGAGCCTCTGGCTTCTTGGACCTCCTAGCCTTGGTTTCATATCCAAACCCTCTTTACATTCACAAACTAAACATTTTAGCGCATTGAAACTGTGGGCCCATGACCTGCTAAGCCCACCTCACCCTTGTAACCTGTTTAACAAACAGCCCATAATCTGAAGGTATTTGATGGCCTCAGAATGAGAAACCATTGTAGAAGATTTGGGGTCACAGTTCTCTGACCTGGACCGGGCAGGCTTGGTTTGGATGACAACACTGGCCACCGGCTGGTATTGGACACAAATGATGCACTGGAGATGAAATGCTTAGGGGGTCCCTCGTAGTCCACGATCTCATACTGACCAGGCCCAGGGAGAGGTGGCTTTGGGGGCAGAGGCAGAGGTTGGGCAGAAAAGTTCAGGAGCGTACCTCTCCTTTGGAAAAGACAAAATGGAAAGATGTTACCACGGCAACCTTATGGGGGAAATGGTAGAGGCTAAAGAACAGGCGGTACCTGGGCCCCCTCCCCAGGCTCACCCTGGTCAGTATCTATCTTAGCTCAGTTGCTTGTGAGCCCAGGGCCTCCAGGCCTCAGTTTCTTGTCTGTGCAATGACAGCCATACCTCACAGGCTTGTCAGGGTTGAAATGAGGTGTGGTACCTAAAATAAGGTCCTCAGGGCAGTGAGAATACAAACACATTTTGATTACAGATGCCTATTACAGGCTCACTGGGAAAAGCAGGTAGCACTGATTGTATGTGCTGGCTGTGATCAACTGGTGGAGTCTGGCTGGAGCTCTGAGAACTGCAGCCTGGATGAAAGAGGCCTTGATGAGCCACTTGTGATGTCTGCATGGCCAGAGAAGAGGAAGCCACATCCTGCCTTCCAGGGATTTGCTGACCCACAACTGACATTCCAGAACCATGCTAGGTTCCCCTTAAGGCTGGAGGCAGGGGTGGAAAAGCACTGGGAAGGAATCTAGAACTTCTACAGGATACTCACTGCTTATATTAAAACTGTCCCAGACTGCCATCACTCTTTCCTTCTGGAAAGGGAGTACAGCATCTTTGCCATAGAGTCATTAAAGAAATGCCTAAGTAGGAGGAACAAGCCTACTTAACAGTTTACCAATGTGGAGAGTTAAATGAGAGGACCTTTGAGAACTGTCCCCTCACCTCAACCGACAGTTAGGATGGTTACCAGGTGTCCAGGCCATCTGGGGAGTCAAGTCACAAGGGAAGGGCTGTGTCTTACCTAAGTTTCTTCTGGGGCCTCCCATGGAAAGGGGAGTGAAGTTCTCAGAACCCAGACCCCAGAAGGGACACTGTGCCTGAAAGCAGTGGGGAAGTCCTGGCTCCCCAGACCCTGCTGACTTTGGGTCTCTACCTTCTTAACTCCCAAAAGCCAGGACACCTAGAGATGTCTAGTCAACCTCCTTATTTGCTAAAGGAGCTAGTGTCCAGAGAGACAGTAGCATACATAAATTCAGACCCAGTTGCAAACGTGTGGCTCTGTAGGACAGGTCTCTTAGTACCAACAATTTGGAGACACACCATGACTGAGATGTCTGGGATCCAGAGACACCTGCATGAAGTATGAATTTTAGTCATGCCACTGACTGACTTGTATCTGGAGCAGGGGGCGAGGACCCCTACTCATTATAGGGGACCTATGAAAACAAAATTGAAACAACCAAGAAGGTCTGTGAAGCATTTCCCACAGAGAGTACCTATTCAGAGCTCACACGAGAGCCACTCTGCAGTGTGGGGATGTGCCCCCTGCTACGGAGGCCATGAAAAGCCACCAGCTCTGCTGGAGGCTCCAACCTTGTAACAGCTGGCTTGGATGTTTGTATTAGAACAAAGGTACCCACAGGAAGAAGGTAGAATGTACCCTCTACTTATCATGGAGGACCTGGCTTTACAGTGTGCTCAAGGGCCTTTCTCCTTACAAATAAATGTTACCTCACCCCTGTTCTGTGACTCCCTCCCCAAGGCACCCTGAGAAATTTCATGTATGTGTGTGACTGGCCACATTTTTGAGACAGACCTGACTCCTGGAAGTCACAACTGGCATGAGCCAACTATCAGATGAAGCCATTCATCGGTTTGGGTCTGGGGACCCAAGCCCAAGCCACATTCTTTGGCAAGTAGTGCTGTGACTGAAATGTCTGCTTGCCCAAGCAGGGGTAGCTGCTGGAGCCTGATGTGGGCTGGGCTCACATCACATATCTGCACATTTGATTGGGCGGCCCCTTCCTACATCCTATCATGGTTCTAGAGATGCCCCACCTCCTGAGCAGAATGCCAGCATCTCCAGTGAGCACCAGCTTTATGTGCAGCTCTAGTCAAGCACATATAGGAGTCCAGGCTGTTCTGGACTAAGACACAGATCTTGAGGGCTGGGTAGTCCACAGCTAGTGTCATCTGAATGGTGACAGTGAAGAGTGCAGCTGTGGCTTGAATATTCCCTTCCCTACCCCTGGCTATGTGTCTTCAGGGAATCTGACCACCCCAACAGTATGTTAGGAGTAACTAGGTTTTGCTCCTGTGTCTAACAAGTAGTCTGTTAGAAAGGGAGTTTAAAAGTCCTGAGCACAAATAAAGGCAAATGACAAATTCCAGCACTCAGGAAGCAAAGGCAGGCAGATCTTTATGAGTATGAGGCCAGCCTGGTCAACAAAGCAAGTTCCAGGACAGCCAGGACTGTTATACAGAGAAACCCTGTTTCAAAAAACCAAACCAATCAAACCATCAAACAAAAAGTCCTGAGCACAAATAAAGGCACATGTCTGCAATACTGGCACCTGGGTATCTGAAGCAGGAGGATTGCCACAAATCTGGGGCTAGCATGGACTCTATAAAGAGTGCCCAGGCAGGTAGCCTGGGCTATACTGTGAAGCCCTCTTATGAAAACAGGAGTGCAGAGATAATTCCCACTAGGAGAGTCAAACCTGTGCCCTGGAAGAAGTCAGCGGGCAACCTTCAGGTAGTGAGAATAGGGAAGGGCACTCCAGCAGTGGGCACACAGGGGTGAACATGGCAGAGAGATTGGCAACCTCAGGCATTTGACAGTATCTGGGCTCCATCATCTTCTTTGCACAAACCCCTCATAGTGGCCTATGAGCAAGGCAAGATCACCACCCCTAAAGAGGAGCGAGGCAAGTGGAAAGTACACTGTGTGTGTGTGTGTGTGTGTGTGTGTGTGTGTGTGTGTGTGTGCGCGCGCGGACGCGCGCGCGCGCGCGTGCACGCATGCACGCATGCATGCATGTCTGCGTGCGTGTACAGGAAGAAGACTCACCAGGAAGGCCCCAATAGGTAGGTGGACGCGCAAGAGTGGAGGTGAGCTATAGAGAAGGACACTCCTGCAGGAAGGAACAGCGTGGCAAAGGGCACGGTGCTGGGAGCAGGGCTGTTCTGGGTCTTTCTGGGAGGGAATGTGTGATTACAAGGCCCTAATCAGAGCTCCCTCTTAACTTCACATTTACAGGGGCTGTGGGGAGTGAGGGAGAGAATTGTGAGACATGAGAGAACAGCCTAGAAATAACAGAGGGACAGGGGGCTGAAGGCAGACACTATCATCTCTTTGCTTGTGTCTCAAACTTTGTGTGCGTGTGTGGGGGGTACAAACAAGGTTGCAAAGAAGGTGGTGGAGTCCAGACACCAAAATCCCCCTCACCAGGATGTGGTGCAATTGGGAAACCACAGAGGTCCAGTGGCCACACCCAGGATGTGTGTGCCCAGCAATTCAGTGTGACCAGCTTGGGTTTGGTGGCTTAGTAATGAATGAAAACATCTGTCAAGCTCCTCCAGTAGCCACAGCAGGAGATTAAGCACACTCCAGCTTCCAAGGGAGCCCTTTGTCAGTGGCTCAGAGATAATGGATGTCTTCACGGTCTCAGCAGGTCACTTGTGGAAGGCATCTAGGACCCCTAGACACTCCCAGGCATGGGCTCTCTGCCTCGGGGATTCCCAGGTTTGGGAGGGATAAAAGGGCAATTTCTCACAATTCCTCTCCACATTAAAGGGTAACCGATTGCCTCTGGGGTGGAATGCAGTATCTATCTGTTCTTCAGGGTAAGGACAGTGACAGATGAGCTGCCTGGGAAGATGCATCCCACAGTGAATCGACAATCCCCAGGAACTTTAGGTGGGCCTAGCATAATTGGCCCAGCCTAATTACTGGATTGGAGCTGGGCCAAAGGGCTCGATTCTCGGGCTACCCTTGACAGGATGGCATGCCAGCAAAGCTGATGACTTAGCGACTCCAGGAAGTGGAGGAGAGGAGTCTCTGGGTGTTCCTTCACCTGGCAGCAGTTGGCACCGGGAGGACCCCATTCTCATCTTCACTGTGCCTTGCCCTACCTCACTGAGTCACCCCCAGGATGTGTACTGAGGAACTGGAGAAGTGAAACCTTGGCTAACACTCGCTTCACATCATAAGACAGCCTGCAAGCCAACAAATCCTCCTAACTTTGAGTCAGCTGGGCAGCCGAAGGCCAAAAGCACCCACAACACATCTATGAGCCACATCTCTCGAGGCCCAAGCACCAGCCTCTGGCATGGTACTGCCCTACAGCTGCCACTCCAGAAAGCTCCTGGGTAGGTTCTCCTCATTGAAGCTTCCAGATCTGGGCTGTGGGTTTGAGCCACCATACAAAATCGCAGCTGTATTCTATTTCAGTAGGATATAGAGCAATCTCAACTGTAATGAGTAAGAGGCAGATGCTGGAGGAGACAGACGATTCTCCCAGTTTGAACATTAGGTAATGCATCAAAACATCATGTGGTCTCATAAATATGCACGGCTTTTATGTGTCAGCTGGGAAAAAGTAAGAACTGTTTCCAAGTTCTGCTTCATTCAGCCCTCTAGAGCCACAGCAAAGATCCACAACACCATTCAGCAATGAGGCAAAGAAGGGAGGTTCCATGGAGGATAATCCCCTGCCCCTGACCACAGCACTATCCAGGCAGACTAAGGAAAAACTCGTGGGCAGAGGGGACTCAAGCTAGCCTGAAGAATGGGGTTTCTAACCTATAAATAGAGAGAGTAGCCATGATGGTCCTCTGCCCCAGGGCCTGGGAAGGATCCTGCAGGACCTCACAATAGGACCACAGAGGGAACTTACTGGTAGCTTCTCCAGGTCCTGTTTGACTTGACAGATTCCTGAATTCCTGCCCTGTGCCCCAGACTGACAGCCAGATGGTGCCCAATGTTCCCAGCCCCCTGCCAGATGCCTGTATGTTCAGCCCACTGCAGCTGTGGCCCTGACAACTGCCTTGCCTTCCTGGAGGGGCTTAGGTGTCCACACCCTCAGTCCCAACCCTGGTGGTCACCCTTCTGATGGTTGAACCTGCAAGAGTGGCTGCAACAGTTGTGATGACTCAGATGGTGACAAGATCAACCTTATGTGCAGTTAGTTCCAGAAGTTCTACAGCTGTTTGAGGAATTCTTAAGCCCTGAGTATGGTTAATCCACCATAACATTAGGGATGGTGGATGATGAGACCAGAGGGGAGGTTCAGGGGCAAAGAAGACTTGTTCTTGCAGGGGCCTAGGGTTAGGCTCCTAGCACCCACAAGACAGCTCACAACCATTTATAGCTACAGTTCTAGAGGATCCATCACCCTCTTCTGGCCTCTGTTCTTTTTAAAATTTGTGTTAATGTTAAGTCACCATTTGCACCTACTGTTTTCCTGACAAAATTTCAATTCTGAAAATTAACCTAAGAGGCAGGAATTAAACCCATTTAACTTTACAGACGAAGGCATGAGAGCTCACAGAGTGCAATACATGCTGTTCACGGCCATATAGCATGTACACAGCAGAGCTGAAGTTCAGAGCATCTCCACATTATACAAGCAAAGCAATCATGGCCCCAGGAGAAGCCAGTTTCAGGGGCGCCACAGAAAGCTCCTAACAGCCCAGAGTCCTGTTGGCAGGATGTAAGTGTGCACACTGAGGCAAATTCCTCAGCCTTCCTGAAGCCTAGCTCCTTCCTCCAGGGAGCAAGTATGGTGATGGTGGAGAGAAGTGGGGCAGGGGCAGGGATGGCGGGGCACACGTGTTCCTAACAGATGCCATTCAGTTACAATCATACACTCTCCAATGGCTTACTGGGCATTGCAACATGGTAGCAGGGGTCCCTGGACTGAGTCCTGCCTAAATGGTGCCCATTCTCATTCTGTCCCTTTGAGCATCCCCTGGAGCTACCCCAGAAGAAAATGCAGGACTCACGGGATGTGAGGCTTTTTCAGAACCTTGGTCTGATTGTTGGGGTTGTAGTAACCAGGCCCTGGGCCTGTTGATGTCAGTTTTAATCCACGGCCAGTTTTGGATTTGAAGCAGGACATTAAGACCTTTGGCGACTGCTTCACCAGAGACTCGTTGACATTGTAATGCCCTGGATGGAGAGAAATATTGACATAGGATGAGAGGCTCTTTCTCCAGATCAATAAAAAGCAGCACCCGCCACCACCTCTCCCAGGCACCTCACAGCCAGCACAGTGACGTCACTTCCGTGGGTCCTAGTGGGTCCGACGGGAAGGTTGCCTCCGTGGGCTGAAAGCCAGGCCTTCCACTTGGATAACACAGTTCAACCCCTGGGTCTTATTTTTCCAACCTATACCCAGGGCCCTGCAGCTTAGAGATAGGAATTAACTAGCCAGAGGACAACCATCCAAGCAGGCACCTAAGGAACGCCCAAACACCGGTACAGCCCTGGACTGACACAACTTCCGCCCTGTAAATAATCCATTTTCTGGGCACAGGATGGTTCCAGTAGCTGAATAGTATCTTAAATATAATGTAACATCAATGTCAAATGAGCAAACAGTGTATGCATTGTACATACATATATATGCAGGCATGCATGCCTGTGTGCACATAAAGATCAGGGATGCTCTGCCATGTTCTGTCACTTTTTGCCTTATTTCAGATCTCTCACTGACCAGAGGCAATGCCTCTGCCCTCCATAACACTGAAGTATAGATGCATGTGTGACCACACCCAGCTTCTTTGTAGGTAATGGGGATTTGAATTCGGATCCTCATGCCTATACAGCAAGTACCCGTCTACCCAAGGAGCCACCTCCCCAGCCCTGAGCAATAAATTCTTAATTTTTTTTAAATTTTATTATTTTTAGGTGTTCTTGTTTGCATGTGGGCACATGAGGTAAGTGCCCCTGGAGGGGTCAGATTGCCTGGAGTTGGAATTCCAAACAGTTGTGAGCCACCTGAAGTGGGTGCTGGGAACTGAACTTGGGTCTTCTGGAAAAGCAGCAAGTACTCTTAACCATTGCGTCATCTCTCCAGCCTTACACAGGAGGCTCTTACTGAGATTCTATTGTGTGGAAAGCCCGTGCCCCGTGCTCTCTCTCAAGAAAATATATTCAAATCCACTTCACTTGTACACAAAGTTTAAAGGAGGAGGAAATGGCCTGAGCTGGGGGGGAGAGCAGAGAGCAGTCTCACCCTCTAAGTTCTCACGGCTCAGGCAGGGGATACAGGTATTTGGGCGGAGAGACGTGTAGTGCCAGGAAAAGGCCCTCACAGACACCTGGTCATGTTGCTCCAGCCTTCCCATCACTTAGAAATTAGGGCATTGGTCAATGAATGCAAAAGCTCTGGGCATAAAGCTGAACACGCAGCCGGGCCCCTCAGGTGAACACTGGGTGTAGCCTCAGCATCCAGGACCGGGCAGCATTACAGACACTGAGCCAGCAAGGGAAAGCAAGTTCCACAATGACACTCTCAAACACCAGAAGGCCACTTGTGCATAGCTGGGGTTTGTTTTTGGTTGTTTTTGTTTGTTTGTACTTTCATCTATTTGTATGTGTGTTTGTTTGCACCTGTGTTAACACGTGTGTACTTGTATGTGCTGGTGCCTGTGGAGGCCAGAGTTCAATTCCAAGTGTCTTCCTTGATTACTCTTGCCTTTTACAACCCTTTTCATTTATTTATTCTTGCACATGTACGTGGACTCACAGATGTGCCAAGGCATACACGTGGAGGTCAGAGGGCAACTTGAGGGCGTTGGTTCTCCACCATTTGGTCCTGAGGCCTGAACTCAAGTTATCAGGCTTGACAGCAAATACCTTTGCCTGCTACCATCTTGCCAGCCCTCCTTATATTTTCGAGGCAGGGTCTCTCACTGAACCTGGAGTCCTTTGGCCTGGTTGGCTGGCTAAGCAAACCCCAGGGACCACCTATCTCTGCCTCCCCAGCTCTGGAGTTACAGGAAGCTGCCATTCCTTCAGGTAGAAATGCATCAATGCACCAATGCACTCTCAGCAAGATCTTCGCCCGTGGAGCCATCTCCCCGCCCCACCCCTTTAAAAAGCACAGTCTCTTTTTAACACTCCTCCTGCCTCAGCCTTCCAAATATTGAGATTATAGGTGTCACATACTAATATGAGTTTTAGGACATGCGTGAATGGAAAAGTAACAGAGAACCTGAAAGTCTATGCATACTATAATGACTCCATGCACAGCAACCATGAATGAATCAGGGCTGGGGTCGGGGTGTCAAGAGGAGTCGTGCCAAGAAAAGAGATTCAGGAGAACTGGTGGGACCCAGGAAAGTGGGAACAATCTTAGTAGCGGTGGCCCTGTAGGGGAGATAGTTCAAATTTTTAAAGCACTGTGAATGTGACTTTGCTTTGTTTGAGTTTTTCTTTTAGAGATGGAGCCTCGCTCTTTCTTTACCCCTGGCTGGTCCTAAATTCAAGGCAATCTTTCTGCTTCCGCCTTCTGGGAGGGTGACTTTTTTTTTTTTTTTTTAAGCAGAATTTACTTTTCTATTGGAAAAGTGATGAAGAGACACTGGGTGATGCTATGGGATGTCAGTCATCTCCAGGAAAGACATCTGGGAACAGCTGGATGCCCCCATGGGAACAAGAGGGGTACCTCCCCTGTGCTGGAGGACAGTTTGGTCCCCATTCTGTTCTTTGTTACAGGGGAGCCTGGGGAACCTCTGTGCTGACTGATGCCCTATCCCAGGGCTCTGTGGTGGGGCCTCTGGCTAAACCCCAAGGTTGCCAGCTTTGTTCTGCTGTATAAACAAACAAGGTGGGGCTTTGTGGGGACTGCAGGGGAGGGGGAGGGGTGCCTTGTGGCTGCGCTGAGCCTCCTAATTAGTGATGGTTTTGTTACTTGGCTTCAGCCTGCTCTTCTGGCTTTAATCTGGATTTGCTGAAATCTGACAGGCCCTGCAATTTTCTCCACACCCTATGCCTTCCTGCCCCTCCTCTGGATTCTGGGGCCCAAAGCTCCAGGCTTGGCTGGGTTAGGCTGGAGGTCAGGCTGTGTGGACTGTTCTGGACCCCTCTGAACTGATCCCCTAGCTGTCTTACAGGGATGGAAGTATGGGAGCACATCGGTATTGCCACCTTTTGGAATACAGAAGACTAACTCAGGCAAGCTCTGATGTGATCCTGAATCCCGGTTCCAGAAGGGAAGCAGGGGTCTAGTCAGGCGTTTCTGGGCTTAGATATGCTATTTAATGGACAATGGCAATGGACAAGTTCTGGAACTCTTTAAGCATCTTTCTTCCATGCATTAAAAACAGGACTATGGGTACAGGCAGGCAGAACAAGCCCTGTGGAATCAACACTGGCAAATGCATCCAGGACCTACCTGGTGATTTAGGAAGACAGTGGAGTGACCTCTGGGGCTTTGTCACCATCTCTCTTCCTACCTGTCAGTAGGAAAATGCCACTTCCCCACCTAGCAGTCCAGAGCTCGTGTGCCTGATGCCAAAAGGCCACATTAAGAAGGCTGCTTTGGGGACTTGTGCAGAGCTACTGGGTCCCTTAGCCTCTCTGTGTTCAGCACTTTCTCTGCCTCCACCCTACCACACATACACACACACATCACACACACACACACACACACATCCCCCACACATACCCCCTATACACACATCCCCCTCACATATCCCTACACCCCCCATACACACATCACACACACACACACACACACATCCCCCACACATCCCCCTCACATATCCCTACACCCCCCCATACACACACACACACACACACACATCCCCCACACATACCCCCATACACATATCACACACACACACACACACACACACACATCCCCCACACATACCCCCCATACACACATCACACACACACACACACACATCCCCCACACACACACCCCCATACACACATCACACACACACACATATCCCCATACACACACAAAATCCAAGTTCCCTCTGAACAGGCTCCCTGTAGAGAGATGGTAGCCAGCGAAATAGAGCCAAGCCGCTGCTTACCTGGAGGTGGCCCTCCCGAGCTGGCCAAGGGGAAGAATCCTCTTTCTGTTTTTGACAGAAACCCAATTGGAGCAGAGATGTTGCTTTTTTGTTTGCAGGAGGGGATGGAGGCCTGTGCAGAAGAAAACACACTCCATCATTCAGTATCTGCCCCTTTCTGTCTTTGTCACCTTGACTGGACAGGTGACAAATATGAGCCAAATTAAAACCCGTCCTTCTTGGAAGGGAACTGATGTGAACTGAAAAGGTGACACAGGCCTTTACCATCTACTTAGCCCAAGTGGTCTGTAACGAGGATGAATGCATGTGGGCACACACACATGGACACACACCGGCTCAAACATGCATACACAGGCCCACCTAGGCGAAGCCAGAGGAGAATGGCTAGGAGGGAAACCTGAACACTGGTTTCTGGTCCCTCTTCTGCCTGGCTAAGGCTGTGTGGCCCTGCTCAGGTGGTTTAATCTCTGAGCCTGAATTCTCTCTCTCTCTGTAAAATGCATCAGATGACCCTGACTCTACTTGTTTTAGAGCGTTGTGAGCTCTAAACCACAGAACCATCTAGAGAAAGTTGCGTTTGTTTGTTTGTTTCTTCTCAGTGCTGGGTTCTTATGCACCATGGACCAGCTGCACCCTTGGGGAGGTGTTTTTACTGAGTGTGTGGGGTGATGCTGTTACAATGTGTTTGCATTTCTTTTGCTGCCATTTTTACCCTATCTAGTTCAAGTCCTCATGCCTCCCACCTGGTCCCTGGCTGCGCTCTTCTCTGTTCAAACAGTGCTCTCTAAACATGGCGTCTGGGGTGCACTGAGTCCTATCGCTCAAGATTATGATCAGATCTGCCGTCACTCTCTTCTCTCTGCTTTTCTGGATGGACCAGAAGTTAAGAATTCTGGCTGATCCACACAATATACCTATGAAAGCGTCCCACACGTTCAGAACTCTAAAAATGATGCGGGGGAGGGAAGGTTGAGTCTCCGGGGCCTGAGATCATTCTTCTGTTATGCACGATCACAAATATTTGAAGTGCCCATTTGTAGTCAGTCTCCTGTATTTGTTAGATAACAGAAGCAATAAAAATTGTGCCCAAGAACGCTGGCAATATTTGCTGAATGAGTGAAACTATTTGCTGGGGAGTGGGGGCTGGGATGGCTTGATTCTACCTGATACTTCTTTGTTTGAAAAAAAAAAAAAAAAGTTTCTTGAGAAATGCAGGTGGCATTTTGATTTTGTGCTGTCAGAGGCAGAGGAATGTAGCCTTTCCCAGGATCCTGACGGCAGGTTGCATGCAGAGTGCTCCCACACAAAGGCCAGATGGGCAGGCTAATTACTGGACAGGAGAGGACCAGGCTCAGAGAGAAGATAATAACAGCCCCACAGCAAAGGACTCCAAAAAAGAAACCGGACTGAGGCTGGGCAAGCTGCTCAGGGCACAGCATGGCTAACGGGATTATGGCCTTTGGGCTCCTTGCCTGATGCTGCCACCATTGTTCTCCAGGTTGGGGGGAAAGTCTCCTACAGACAAAACAGTTCCCCTGGCTTTGTTCTTTACCCAGACAGAAAACCTGTGGAAAACGGGACATTTTTGTATACCTGTGATCTACAGGAAGATTTTACCATTAGACTAAGAAAATACTCAGCAGGTTAAAAAAAACAAAACAAACAAACAAAAAAAAAAAAAAAAAAAAAAAAAAAAAACAGACCAAAGCTGAGTTACTGAGGCAATGTGGAGAGGAACTCCAGGTGTAGCTAAGTGGAAAATACACCTGGACCCTGTGCAGGTGACTCCAAAACTTGGGAGGCTTGTGTGTGTGTGTGTGTGTGTGTGTGTGTGTGTGTGTGTGTGTGTGTAGACCCTGAAGGAACTACACCTGGCTCTTAGTGACATTTGCCTTGGGAACCCACATTATAAGGGAACCAGTCCTGCAGCATCCACACTAAGTGGCTCATTACTTACTGCCTACAACTCCAGCTCTAAGGGATTGATGCCTCTGGCCTCCAAGGGCAACTGCACTAAGGTACACATACACTGTGATCCCCACACACATAATTTTAAAAAATAAGGTTTTTTTGAGAAAGAGAAGTAGAATTACAAGGAAGGAATTTCTACTATGTAATGCTGAACTTACATATTATTCAAAATATACATGTGTTATGTTCAGTCACCTTGAAATATTCATGAACAAAATCCATTCACTCTATGGGGTTGGGGGAATGGTTTAGCCATTAAAAGGATTGCTGAATAAACAAGTTCACACCCCCAGCACTCAGCATAAAAAGTCAGGCACAGTGGTACATATCTGGGGGAGGCAGAGACAGGTGGGTCCCTGGGGCTCATTGGCCAGCCAGTTAGTGTGGACCCTTTCTCAAAAAAATTAATTAATAATAATAAAGGTAGACATCAATAGAGAAAGACATCTGATGGCTTCACATGGGTACACATACAGGACCATACATAGGTGCGCACACCACACACACATACACAGGTACACACAAGTACACAGACACACATACAGGTACACACACAGGTGCGCGCACACCACACACACACACAGGTGTACACACACACAGGTGTACACACAGCTGCACACACACCCCCCCACACACAACTTCATATACACACACAGGTGCACACACAGGCTGTGCACACACACACACACACATACACACACAGAGATACACACAGCTGCACACACACAGCTGCATGCACACACAGCTGCACGTGCACACAGCTGCACGCGCACACAGCTGCACACACAGGTACACACATACCACTTATCTATGCATCATGTATATATTGGCAGAAAGCAAAAAATTCTGGTCTGGACCTCGGTCTTTTGCAGAGACACAGCTGTATGGGCCCAGAGGTCACTCATTTGATGACAGACATTTAACACACGTTGCTGTGTCCAGGGCCCAATGGAGCAGTGTAAGCATGCAGCTGTCTGCCTCGGAAGCGCAGAGAGGACTGGAAGCATCCAAACAAAGTTCAAGCTATATCACCCTTCTGCTGCAACCAAGGGTTCAGGAAGGGTGCTCACAGGTCTGAGCTGTGCCTGTCTCCACGGAGGGTACTCACAGGTCAGAGCTGTGCCTGTCTCCCAGGTGGCCAGGGTCTGGTTCTGAATGCATATATCTATGCAGATCATTCTCAGACCATACAATTCCTGCCCCCTGCAAGCCTATCTGGAACCACACTGCAGTCTGAAAGAAGTGTTCTAGAAACTTCTTCAGGTTATGTCTCACCCTTCCCAGTCCCCCTCGGAACTCCCCAGGACACAGAGAACAAAGTTCAGACTCTCCCCTGGGGTCTTCAGTGACACGCTAAGATAGCTACAATTAGCCCTGGTAACATGACTGATCCAAAATTATGACAGGCATAAATAGCAAATGCACATTGAACTGCAAAGACTTCAAAGGAGACAAGGGTCCTCCTGAAATATCTCATTAATAATCTTATATCAATATGTATCTGATTTCAAAACAAAATATATTGCAAAACTTAATATTTATAATTACAAGATGTTTATAAAAGTTACCTTCGCCTGATCCTTTTTAGTTCTATATGCCACTATTAAAATTTTCTAAATGACACAGCTGTCCTCCAGTTACTATGGCCCAGTGCTGACCCAACAGGCACCACCCCTGCTCTGAACACATGACAGTTCACTGGTCCACTTTACTGGTCATATAGGGTGAGCAAAAGGTCTGTAAACAAACATGACTTACAAATCGTGTTTCAAAAGAAGAACTTAAGAATGAGATCTGAGACCAAAGCCCTTTGAAATGCAGCCCTTTTTGGCTCACATCTTCCTGTGTGGGATTGTGGATCATACCCTGGATTTCAGGGTGCTCATGGGGGTGGGGAGGTCATGCTCTCCACAGCTTTTACATAGCCCCTAAAGCAGGTGTCCCTGATTCCATTGTATAGTGGTGGCTCCACACACCCCATGACTAGCCAAGGACAGCCCACCCCCTTCCCTGGGTTACTGCAGACCTGTGTGCCTGGTGCTCATTCCTCAACCTAGGTGGCGCATGAGCAAGGCACAGGGCACGGTAGAATGGAGACCTGAGCCAGAGCTTCCTGTCGTGGGATAATCTTTTTGTACATTGTGAAGATGTGTCGCTGTTTTACCTTGCTAGGCACCTTGTGACTGGTTTAATAAAGAGCTGAATGGCCAATAGCTAGGCCAGGCAGGATGGGTGGGACTTCCGGATTGAGAGAGGAACTCTGGGAAGAAGAGAGGTGGGATTCACCAGGCAGACACAGAGCAAGTGGGTAGAATGTGGGTTAATATAAACGGGTTAATTTAAGTTATAAGAGCTAGTGGGAAACAAGTCTAAGCTGAGACTGAGCTTTTGTACTTAACAAGTCTGTCATTATTTGGGAGCTGGCGGAACAAAGAAAGTCTGACTACTGCTTCCTGCAGGCATCCTTTCCCACCCATTCCATTCTGCTCAGAGCATTACCGCTAACACACACACACACACACACACACACACACACACACACACACACACACACACACGATCCCAGACACCTGAGTCCCAGCACTGAGGGGGCAGACAGGTGAATCTCTGTTAGTTCAATGCCAGCCCTTACTACATAGTATGTTCCAGGACAGCCAGAGTTACATACTGAGACCCTGTCTCAAAAAACAAAGACGTCAAAAGAATCTGCGTTTTCCTTATTAAATTCTAAAAAGAAAATGAATAGGGTCAGCAGGTGAAATGGTAAGTATTTATCTGTATGAGAGACAGGAAAACACTCCAGGCTCTTTATTAAAGAGAGAGGTGAGTGGAAGAAGAGGGTTTTCTGCGGCTCCCTGGCGCCCTCTACCGTTGCCCAACCTTCAGATTCTTTGCCTTACCCTCAGTCTCCCTCTCCATCCCCAGCTTGCTCACAGTGCTCACTGGCTGACCCTCTGTGTTCAAATGCTGTTTCTCCAAGCCTCACACCCTTCCCTGAACCCTGGCAACACACCCTTTTAACACGGGCACCGGACAAAGGCAGGCGATGCCCTTACATTGTAATGGTTTGGGGCAGGGGTTTCAGATTTGACCACTTTCATGAAGCTTGGCAGCTGGAACATGCTGGAACAGGAATTGCTGAAGTCCTTCTTGGAAACCAACTCTGAGCGGATGGTGTATGCATTGGCAGCAGGATATTTAGAAATGTTGTTGCCCAGCCGGGCACACTAAGGAAGAAGGAAAAGAGTCAGCATTGCCAAGTGACCCGGGTGCCGTGAAGACAGAGCAAAAGAAAAGGACGGTGCCCACGGTCCATCACTGTTTGATTGCTTGCGTGCCTGATTGTTTATTTGTTGAGTCGGGGTCTCTGTAGCCCAAGCTGTACAGCTCAGGCTGGCCTCAGACTTTCAGTGTTCCTCCTGCATCATCCTCCCCAGGGCTGGTATGCTGGGCAATAGCCACCATGCCCCGCTTACAAGCATTTTCCCCCTAAGAGGCGAGACTGTAGCAAGTAACAGTGGTAATTGGATCTCGGGCTTTGAGCCCTCGCTCTTGGGAAATGCAAGTTCAGACCCATTCCAACTTCTGTAAACTAATTTAAAGCATTCGTCATCTGTTTGGGACCTGGAGAGAGTGATTTTTCCCAGCAATGCATTTTCGCTGCACCCTGTTCCAGGCCACTTCCATCCACCTCATCAGCTGTGGGGTGGGTGGGGAGTCCTGTGATAGCCAGGGTTAGACTGGTCCCAGTGGTGTCTACAGGGAGCTGCTTCAGATAGCTTAAAGGGGCAGGGCTAGTCACGAATGCCTCCCATCCCTAGCAGATTACTGTTTTCACGCCAGGTGTGGTGGCACACACCTGTGGTCAGAATTTAGGAGGCAGACAGGAAGACAATAAGTTTGAGGCTAGCCTGGTCTACACAGTGTGCCACGGGGGGGGGGGGGAAGCCACCAAGAACCACAAATCCTAGCATGCATAAAATCCCTAAAATACTTGCATTTCAACAGGACCAATTCCGCCGCTTCCGGAAACTGTGATAAACTATTTTCAGTTCAAAAAACAAACACAGTGTTTGCCATACGAATGGGGGTAAAAGCCATAGAAACTCGATGATAACATCTCCTTGCCCTATGACAGCATGGCTAGTATTAGGATCTGATAAAACAAAAGAGTTCCCATAATTTTACGGTGAAAAGCTTGGGAACACCGCCCTGGGTTTCTCCACTCAACAGAGGTCAATGGGACCCGGGCACAGGAAGTGGGGGAAGCTGTGAGTGACCTTTACCTCCCTCTCCCCACTGCTGGGGGGCTAGGTGGAGATGGCTCTCAATGGTGGCGTGGGGGTGTGGGTTTCACCAGAAGCCAGACAATTCTCATCTGGATTCTGACCAAGGTTCGAATCCAAGCCCTAGCGGCAAGGCTCTTCAGTGTTCTCAGCAGCAAAGACTATGCCGCTGGCAGCCGCCTTCACTTTCTGGCCGCTTGTTTACCTAGGATTTGTTGTTTCCTTTGGTTTGTACAACTGTGAGCAGCAGACATTATGGCCATTTCACAGCAGAAGAAACTCAACTACTAGTAAATCGGTGTGGACCACCATCTTCAGCAAGGCAGTCTGCCTCCACCTGGTGACCCAGATCAGATACGACATTTGAAAGAGAAATGTGTCAGGAGGAACAGTCCTGGAGGGACAGCAAATGTTTTCCACCCTGGCATCTTTTTTTGCCTTCAGAGACTTACTGCTTTTATGTTTGGGGGTGGGGAGAATGTTCTTAAAAAATAAAAATAAAAAAGAGCGTCTGTGATGCCAAGTTCCCTGAGGCATCATAATAGGATTCATGTCTGCATCGCTCACTCTCCAGCTCTGTGCCCTGTGTTTACCTGCCAGCCCTGACACCTCCAGTTGGACCCCACACTGGCCCATGACAACTTCTTTCCAACACATACTAACTCCTCCAGAACCACCATGCCACTGTGCGACCCAGAAAGACCACCAAAGTCCCTACCCCCCTGCCTCATGTAGCTTCCTGGTCAAAGCTGTAGAAGATTCTAGAACAAAAACTTGGAGTACCTTAATGAGGTGCTTTATATCACTTAAATTTTGAGAGACAAGCCTTCTCAAAGGGTTGGGTATTTCCCTGACAACCACCAGGAAGTGTGTAGAATTTATAGGCCAATCATACTCCTCTGGGCCCTTGTGATCTCCCTCTGAGGTGGGTGATTTGAATTCCTCAAGTCTCAGGACACAGAAGTGGGAGAAAGGCCCTCTGTCCCTCAATTTGGACAGAAACTAGAGACCATGTGGGGCCACAGTCAGGTATTACTTGAGACCCCCTTCCCAAGAATAAAGAAATGCAAGTATTTAAGAATATAAAGCTAGGACTGGAGAGGCAGCTCAGACATTCCATTTCTAGCATCCACATCAAGCAACTTAGACCTGCCTATAACTCCAGTTCCTGGGGACCTGACACCCTCTGCTGGCCTGTGCAGGTCCCTGCACTCATGTACACACACACACACACACACACACACACACACACACACACACACACACACACCACTTCAAAACCAACCTTTGTTTTGTTTTGTTTGTTTTTGAGACAGGATTTCTTTGTGTAGTCTTGGCTGTCCTGGAACTCACTCTGTAGACCAGGCTGGCCTCGAACTCACATAGACCCACCTGTCTCTGCCTCCCAAGTACTGGGATTAAAAGCATGTGCCACCACTGTCCAGCTTCTTTAAAACAAGAAATATAGAGGACTGGAGAGATGGCTCAGCAATTAAGTGCACTACCTGCTTTTCCAAAGGTCCTAAATTCAGTTCCCAGAAACCAACTACATGGTGGCTCACAACCAACTGAAATGAGATCTAGTGCCCTCTTCTGACCTGCAGGCTTACATGGAGGCAGAACACTGTATACATAATAAATAAATCTTTTTTTTAAAAAATTTATTTTTTCTTCTGGCTCTTCACTTATTATTTTTAAAGAAATAAAAGGCCTGGTTGGAGTCTACACTTCAGACATGTCCATGCCTTCTCTTCTGGATGGGTAGCAGAATCGTTTGAAAGTCACCACTGGTGAAGCCTGGTGGGGCCCTCACTGTGGCACTGTGTCTCCAGTCCAGCCTCTTGTTGGCACCAAGAAGAAACAGTAGTGCACTGCCTGGCAAAGGAGCTCCCAGAGAGCACCTGGGCGTTTTGGGCGGTCTGGAGGGTGACTCAGGGGGTGACGGTGCTAGCTCATGGCCTGTTCTGCAATTTCAAAATCTTTCTCACTGCACTTTGCCCAGAGCCTGCAGGGAGTCTCTGAGGCAACCGGGACCTAGGAGGGTGATGTGTTTGAGGTCACATCCAGGCCCCACAGCTGAGTCAGGATGAGGTCTTCCCATGGCTCCTGCCGCGGCATGAGATGTGGCACTTCGTTGACAGTAGCTCTGGGGTCTTTTTCCTGACTGGGAGCTAAAGGCTTGGCTATCCTATGACTTTGCTGAGGGCTCACAGACTGTGAGCCTACACTCAAAAGTCAGTCTGCTCATGAATATTCCAACTCTCAACAAGAGGTGGCTGTATTCACTGGGCCTTAAATGGTCCCTTTGTGTGAGAGTAATAGGAAAATTAGCCCCAGTGTGAGGCATCATGTAAGTCCATGCAAGAGACTGCCATAACTTTTAAAGGGACAAGCAGGTGCATGTGTTCTATTGAGGGTGGACTCTGGCTCTGGTTTGTCCTTCCCTGTTCTACCTCAGGCGACCTTGCTCTGGCTTGGCTCTCCCTTGCTTGATTCCCTTAAGGATGAGGCCATAGCTTAGCGGTACAGCCTTGGGCGCCATTCTGAGCACACACACACACACACACACACACACACACACACACACACACCAAAATAAAACAAAAGAAAGCTGCCTTCACCAGAGTCTGCTCGGCCTCTCTGGTACTTCCTTTATGTATTTGACTGCAAGATCAAGTCCCCTGTGGTACCGTGAAGATTCCTGAATTTCAGGCCCAGGGTACTCTCTCTCTCTCTCTCTCTCTCCCCCCCCTCCGTGTGTGTGTGTGTGTGTGTGTGTGTGTGTGTGTGTGTTCCTCTTTAGTTCTCTTTAGTATCAGAGGTCTGCTCTCTCGTCCCACGTGGGTCCCAGCAACCCATTTCAGGCCATCAGCATTGGCGGCAGCACCTCCTATTCTCCATGCCATCAAACTGTCCCCTAGTTTCTTTTTTGGTCTTTCCAATTTCCCAGTGATTTTGAAGCAAGTGTTAAAAATCACTTTGGGGCAGGACACAGCAATTTCCCTGACATACCCAAAAGCCCCAGGAAGGCAACTGCCTCTTGTGCTCAACAACCAACTTCTAGCTTTCACCCAGCCTCATCCATATACATCCGTGGGGACAAATGGCCTAATGACACAGGCTCAGATTCATCTTTGTGAATTCACAGGAAGTGGTTGCTGTCTTAATCAGAACGGGGACCTTTGGAGAAAAAGGATCAGCCATCCACCATGTCATCGCACACCGGACAGAGGGAATTACTGAGCATCTAACACCCAAGGGCTCTCACCGAGGAGGGGAAAGTGCAGGTTCCTCTCTTGGAAAAAGAGACACTGTTGAACACTGGAGACTGGTGGATGACATTGTAGAACCCAGGGCCTGGGTTGTCATTCTGAAAAGAACAAGAATGCAGTGTCATTGGGCACGGCAGCTTCAGCACGCTTTTCCGCCAGCTTCCATCCATTAATGCTAAGCCTTCCTCTAATCCTACAGAACAGGCTCCATCATTTTCAGGGGTGACAGGCTCACTCCACCATTTCTCTGACTTGCCCAATCTGTATCCCAGTTACCAGTGGGAGGGGCAGGAATCCTAATTCTGGTCAGGTCTCCCACAGCCCTTGATCTCTTTCCACTAAGTCCCCATCCCCATTCTAAAGGAACACTGTTTTGTGTGTGTGTGGGGGGGTTTCATGTCATTATGGAAATGTGCCAGTGCGCATGTCAGCCTGCAAGGACTGGGTCAGCCAAGCCCGAGGTAAAGGGAGGGTGACCGATTTCATGGTAGCCACACCCACCTGACTCAGCTTCCTCCTGAGGCCTCAGAGAAGGGAAACTGGGGAGTGTGTATGTTTATAAAGCAAAATGAAACAAAAACAACCTTCATTCCAAATGAGGCCATCTTGAACTTGAAGACAAAATAAGGTGAGCCCATGGGGCCCAAGGGCAACTTGTGACTAGGGTACAGGGAGCAGAGGCAGCAGAAGCTGTGTTCAGAGCTACTGCTACAGGCTGCCTGAGCTTCCAGAAGCTTTCAGCTTGTTTCTGGCGCTAGTTACTAAGCTGGAGGAGCAAGTGGCATGAAATGAGGTGATGCTTCATTGCTGGGGCAGCTTCCTGGGTGCTGCCCGGTGCTGGGAGCTTCTTAAAGCTCATCCTCATTTTTGCTGTCACCCAATGAGGAAGGGATTACTGTCCCCATTTCACAAATGGGCACATGCAGATGAATTTGTCCCAAGTCCAAATGCTGACCACATGGAATGTGTCCGTGGAAGTAGGTATGTCACCAGAGCCACCCAAGGAAGCAGAACCTGGGCCTGTAGAGCCACAGCCAGTAAGCGGTGAACCCCAGATTTGAGCCCATGGACCCAGATTCCAGTTTGCTATCTCCACTCAGACACAGATACACCCTAACTGTTCTGTCCCTGCTGCTTTACCTAGGTAGAGTTTGAGGCACAACTCATGTCTTCCAGAACTTTCCAGTCTAGAGAGTGGGGACAGAGTGATTGAAGCTCATTATAAAGACTTATTGGATCCCATTCCCTAGGGTGGGATATCTTGCTGAGCTTGATACAGGGGGGAAAGGCTTGGTCCCGCCTCAATTTGGCAGGCCAGACTTTGTTGACTCCCCAAGGAAGGTCTTACCCCTCTGAGTAGTGAATGGGGGGATGGAAGGGAGGAGGGGAATTGGGGTTGGTATATAAAATGAAAAGTAAGTTTTTTAAATTAAAAAAAAAAGAATAGAGGCATAGGTACTGTGTGTGTGTGCGCGCGCGTGCACGCGTGCTCGTGAGACAAGCAGAGGAAGAACAGAGGACACAGCCTTCCAGGCCAAGAGTCAGAAGCAGGATACTGCAGGTGCAGGAGGGAAGGACCACAGGAGGGAGAGGCCGCTCTGCCCCGCAGCACACTGAGATTTCCCAATGGCTAGCTCACTGAGTCTTCCCTGGGAAACTGAGAAGATGGGGTCAAAAGAGAGATGACCTAATGCTGCCTAACCAGCAGAAATCAGAGTCAGAATTGGAGCAGTAGAGTTGCTCCAGTCTCTCTACAGTCTGATGAGAGTCTCCTAACCGCGGACACCAACTGCCTCTTAGATGAGACTACATGGGATAAAAGAAAATCCTCTCCCAGGGTTGTGAATTGGGAAGTCTGTCCTCTGGGCTGGTCAGCTACATGATCTTGAGTAACTTTTACCTCATTGGGCTTCAAGGTGCTGGGATCCTAGTGAGATTCCAGGGTCCCTGTCACTAGGGAAAGCTGCAGCAGGAATCACCGCGTGACATGTGACTGACTAATCATGATGATAATGATGCAAGTGTCTTGCCTGCATGTATATATGTGCCTGTGCAGAGGCCAGAAGAGGGTATGGGATCCCCTACAACTGGAATTACAGACAATTGAGTAGCCATTTGGGTACTGGGAATTGAACCCAGGTCCCCTGGAAGAGCAGCCAGTGTTCTATCTGCTAAGCCAGCTCTCCAGCCTCTGCTATGTGACTCTTACAGGTATGAACAGTGGGCAGGGAAGATATATCTCTAGCTCCTAGTCCATCTGCACATGCCCACTGTTCTGACCCAACCTACCCAGTCAAATTAGAATGGCAAACAGCAAATAGCTGTTTTTGCTTAAGTATAGCCCATAAGGTATTTGGGACATACTTATGCTAAAATGGTTACCTATCTGCAATTCTAATGTATCCAAGCATCCCTGCTTTCCTTTGCTGAATCTGACAACTCTACTGGACATCCATCAGCTGGGTCAGACTGCAAAATGGCTAAAGTCCATGGCAAATGGGAATGGGGCTGTTTAGCCTGGGGGGGGATGAAATTTACTCTTGATGAAGGTCCAAAGCAAATCTCATGGGATAAGCATGCTGGAGCTGGCCTGTAAAGGGAACCGTTAAAATCCCCACGGTGTCACTGAAATGGGTCACTGGAGGCATGTTTACACTGGAGAAATCACCCAAAGCTTCAAGGGAGGGAAGCACTGGATTACATAACACCACAGGTGCAGAGAAGCCAGATGCAGGTCCCTGTGAGGCTGCTGGATGCGGGGCAGGACTCTCAGGGTGAGCAGGATAAAACCAGCTGTGGACTCAAACACCCCCTTGATCTCTTATATGAGACACTTCCAAATAATCAGAATAGAAGTAATTGTCCACCAGTCTCCTCAGTGCCAGGGCCACCTTGCGGGCATGGGGCTGAGTAAGCAATGGTTGGTAGACGTGTTGCCCTCCTTTCACCCAGCACACAGCTTGGGTGACACTTGTCTGAGCAGCACATGGAGGGCTCGTTGAGCTGGCAGTCTCCACAGGTACTAGGAGTGGGAGATGATCCCTATCCACCTGAGTTTGGGATGGGCCTGCAGGGGTCACGAGGGAGCTGGCATTTGGCTCCTGGGCCACAGTAGCTCCCCAGCTTTTGAGGGGGGTCCTACTGCAGAACCTAGGGCCAGGCATGGCATCCTACACTGGGCTTTTCACTTGCTGTCATAAATTCTGAGTTAATCTGTAAACATAACCTTGCATGATTTCATTGCAACTTAAACTCTGGCCCTGACTGTTTGGGAGGGCAGATCTCCTGTCATACCCTGTGTAGAACTACCAAGTTAGTTTGTTTTTGAGGTGGTTTTCTCTGTGCCAGGCTGGACTCAACTCACTATACAACCAAGGATGACCTTGCTGATTCTCCTGTCTCCCGAGTGATAGAATTGCAGGCATGGGCCAGCACACTCAGTCTCCTTGTGATTTTATGAGCCACCATATTAGTGATGGGGATTTAACGCAGGTCTTCTCCCAGGGCAACAAATACTCTAAACCAATGAGCCATCTCTCCAGCCCCTTCATCAGGCAACTTAAATGATGCCCACTCAGAAGACACACTGTCCCTGTCCCACCAGCCTGTGCTATTCAAATGGAAGGCAACAGGTTTGGTATCATGCAATCGTCCGTCACTCCCAGGAAAGGAGTCTAGTGTAACATTCTAATTTTTAAGAGGAGGAAGCAAATGCAGAGACACTAGGTGGGGCCTTTACAGCCATAGCTTGGGAATCTGGGTGAGATGGAGCAGAAGTTGGGAGATGGGGAAGAAAATGTCCAGTGGGGTGCTGGACAGCTTTGTCACCTAGAGGCGCGTCTCCTCTAAAGTTAGCTGCACATTTGTAAATAATTACAAAGTTTATTCCTAGCAACCTAAATTGCCAATTTAGGCACAAATCTGTGCAGGACCCTCACAGCCCCAGTGGTGAGATTCCTTTACTTAAAATAAGTGTGTGACCAGGGATGTACGTGTGCCATGGCGTGAGAGTAGAGTTCAGAGGACAACCCGAGGTAGTCTCTTCTGTTCTCCTTCGACGTTGATCCCAGAGACTGAACTCTGATCACTAAGTTTGTCAGGGGATACCTTGGCCCCCTGAGCCATCTCCCCGGCACCCCAGGGGTGAGATCCTTGCAAGGAATATAAACTGGCCCTGAGGCTCAGCGGCCCAGCCGCACTGGTGAGTGCCTGCCTCTGAGCCACCATGGTAAAGCTGGGCTAAGTGGGTCACGGCTCCAAGGCGAGCAGATGACCGGGTGTGGGCTCAGCACAGGGCGTGTGTGCCTCTTGTCTTAAGAAGGGTGGCAGGGGAGGTTTCGAATCTGTTGTTAACTTGCATTGTCTCACTAAATTACTGGGTGATGCCGCGCAAGTGCATTACTTCTCCATGCTCATTTCCCTCGGGGAAAATGAGACTGATGGCACAGAGCATGGAAGGAGTGGATTCTCTGTGCTTAGGACGTGGGGAATTATATAACTCCTCAGTAATTACACAGTCTTTCAAAGGCTCGGATGAAGGCTTTCCCATCAAATGGATGCAACCACATCGGAGATTTTAGAACTGAACTTGAGTGGTTTCTGCCTTTATTGATGCAGCTTGCAGTTCTGGTGGCCACGAGGGCTCCCTGGACAGGAGACATGATAGTATTTCACACAGTACTTTGAGCTCCTGGATCAGAGTCCCAAGAACTTGCCTGTAGGATGGAGCCCCGGCAAGGAACATTTTATTGCCCTCTCTTCCTGGAGATCTGTCTGTTTTGCCAAGGCCGTTCCAGAAGCATGCTAACTTTCATCAACCAAATTTACAGCCTCGAAGGCCACAAAGGCAGGCGTGGTCAGTGTGGAAAGAGCGAGGGCTTTGGAGTGAGCTCTGCCTGGGTTGAGGTCTAATTCTTTCAATGTTGATTCAGCAGATATTTATTTAGAGCCTCTTATGTAGCAAACCCTGGGCTGTGTGATGGAGGGTGGGTCACTTAACCTCCCTAAGCCTCGGTTTCCTCTTATGTTCAATGAAGACAGCAAACCCTTCCTTTTAGCATTGTTCTGGGGAGCAGAGATACGATCTAAAAATGTTTTAACACATAGTAGGGATTGGTCAGTGACAGCTACTATTCTTTTTATTGGCAACTGAGCTGTGAACACCCTGGACATGGACAACTAACACACTGTCATTCAAGTTGATCAATGAGAACCCACACAGCAAATGGGGAAGAAGCTGACAACTAAGATACAGAGAAACTAGAGAAAAGAGAAAAATGCCTGAGCAAATATTTATCACCCTGGGGAAAGCTACGAGTGATTCTAAAATATGTGTATGCTGTATTACTTATTGTGGGCTTCTTAGAACCCCGAGGTAATGAGAGGTTAAAAGAACTTAATTCACTCTCTAGTTCCTTATTCCAGCTCACAAAGGAAGAGCCGGGCTTGCCGTGAGGGCCCTGCAAGGGGTGTTCAGAACCGGGGTCCTCCCACTCCTTCTCTACCACCTGGGAAGGTGGGAGGGTGGCAGGCATTTGCAGAATGCAGCAGAAGGTAACTGGAACAGTCCGTCTCCAAAGAAATGCTACTCTCAGGGTCCTGCTTAAAAGGAGGGATGTCAAGTGGTGGAGATGCTGCAGGCATGCCTGTGAGTTGCTACAGCCCCCTGCTGGTGAGAAAGGAGAAGGTCAACCCCCCAGGAATAAGTTAAATAAAGGCTGGCCAGGGAGACAACCAGAACTTTCCAGACTTGGAGACCTAGATAAAAGGGGATAGGGAGAGCACAGTATAGCATTATTTTAGTTGCATTTATTTATTTACTTGTATGTGTGCACATATCATAGCAAACACATCAGAGGGAAATTTTAAAAAATATTAGCTGCTCTCTACCATTGGGGGTTCCAGGTCTCAAGCTGTCTTATCAACCCCCATAATAATGATAAGACATTGTGTAAGGAAATTTATTTTATTTTTATTTTTGTTTAAGGAAATTTTTAATGGGGGAATTCATCACAAACACAACTATAAAATTGTTAGAAACTTGTTTACCTATGTGTTATCTAGGATTATATAATTCCCTTTGATAGATCAGAATGGGGTGGTTTTTATCTTCTACTACATACACACAGGACTTAGAAGAACTTGTGTTTTTATTCTTTTCAAATTAAAGATAATTTTGGCTGCAGGGGGTGGTTGCGCATGCCTTCAATTCAAATACACAGGAAGCCAAAGAAGGAGGAACCTAAGTTCAAAGCCAGGCTGGGCTACATAGCAAGACCCCTGGTAATGTTTTCCAAGCAGATAATATATGCAAAGTCCTGGGGTGAATCCCCAACACAGTAAATAGTTAGGTCAATCGATCAGTCAATCAATCAATCAATTTCAGGCTGTTCCTTACCAAACTGACAGTGTCTCCTTGGAGAATGGTACAGCTCCTTGGGTGATACTGCCCCCTGCTGTTCATTAGAGAAACACAACAGCTAAAATCCAAGCAGAGAATTTTGAAGGCAATGTCATTTACCTTTTTGTGATAGAATCTCCTGGTTTGGCTGTTAAATCCCTTTTTTTCTGATTCTGGGATTATTGACGTTCTGTATCTATAAGGAATGGAGGCCTGAGTTGGATATGCAGCAGTAAAACCTGAATAACAAATATAAGACAACCATCCATCAGTGTGTGATGCTAGCTAGTGTTTGCTCAGTGCAATTGCTAGAAAACGCTATAAGTAGTCATCCTAGGCTGGGATGTATGTAGCTCAATTGGTAGAATATTTCCCTGGCATGTACAAAAGCCCTGGATTCCATCCCCATCACCACATAATACCAAGTGTGGTGGCCCACACCCATACTTGCAACACTCAAGAACTGGAGGCTGGAGGATTAGAAATCCAAGGTCACCCCTTGGCTACATTTAGAGTACAAGGCCAGCCTGGAATATATGAGACACTGTCTCAAAAAAAATAAACAAACATATAGTTATCCTAGTGAGCTAGCAAAAAAAAAAAAAAAAAAAAAAAAGAACTCAATATAGGCTATTCTTATTAGGGGCCACCAGGTTCAGGGGGTCTGCTTGCCTTTGTGACACAGAAAGATACAACTTGTCCTTTTTCTATCTTTTCCTCTTGGATTCTGGCCAGAACAAAAGTAACTTATATTGGTAGTTTAGACTTCCTCACTGTTTCTCTACAGCACACACTCACACACACACACACACACACACACACACACACACACACACACACACACACACACACAGAGCCTGATAACATGCAGCTAAGCTCCACAGCCAGTGTGGTATTTTCTCCTACTCTTCTCTCTTCTCCTTCCTGGCAACTGCTAAGAGTTAGTTACATCTTGTCTGCTTGTCTGCTCTTGTTTTTCTTTTAAGCACCAGTAAAACTGACCTATTTGAATTAAAAACAAAAGTTCAATAAAGGGTCAGAGAATGGCTTGGTGAGCAAAGGCTCTTATTGCCAAGCCTGACTGCCTGAGTTCAATCCCCAAGAATCCCATGGCGGAAGGAGAGAACCAACTCCCCAAAATTGTCCTGCCACCTCCACATGTGCTCCGTGGCATGCACATACAAAATAAAGAAGTGTAATTTTTTTTTAAAAAAAATTAAAATAGGGACTGAAGAGATGGCTCCAAGATTAAGAGCACTGGCTGCTCTCCCAGATGACCCAGGTTCAATTCTTAGCACCCATATGGCAGCTCACAACCATCTATAACTAAAGTTCCAGGGGATCCAATACCCTCTTCTGGCCTCTTCAAACACTACATGCACATGGTATGCAGAACCAGACATAAAATAATGTTTTAAAATTAAAATATCCAATACAGAAGAGTGAACAAATTATGAACAGATGGGACAAAAAGCAAATCATAAACCAACAGACTTACACTTACACGTTCATAACCATATTAAACATTAAGTAGTCTACACATTCCAGTTAAAAGATAGGGACTGTCAGACAGGACAAGAAAGAAAGACCCAACTACATGCTGCTTACAAGAAACACATTTCAACTCTAAACCTAGAAAAAAAAGCAAAAAGAATGAGGACTTGCAATAAGAATTTAGTTGTCAGAAATAAAGCAAGCAAGACCTGTTACACATTTAAAATGAAAGAACGTGACTCTTGTTGGAATACGGAAATAGCTTGTTATCTTTTTGTTGTTGAAGGGACAGCCATCTTCCCATTCGTTCTTTCTTACAGTTTCTTACCACCTACACTCTAGGGACAGCAGGGCCAAAGGCAATCCATCTGATACACTCTCAAAGGATGGCCTTGTGGATAACACCCAGCATCTACTAATCCTTCCAACTGTGCTCTTACATATGAGGGCGGATATGCTGAGATTTAAATTCACTAGACCTTTCTGTATTTTGTCGCCATGCTTGTTAGGTTTGCCAAGGTCTTCATCTTTCAGGGAAATGTTATCCGTGTTAGCAAAGCTCAGGGGCATGTTCCGTCTGTTTGAGGAAAACTTCAGCCCTGCATTCTTCTAGACACCTGAAAGAAGATACAGCATTTGCAGGGGCTTTCACACTGTGGTCAGCTCTGTGCTAATGGTGTTGAGAGATCTTGTGGGGTAGAAACTGTCACCCACCAAGTGCTTTGTCATCCCAAAGTCCAAGCACACAGTGCTGACAGAATTTGGGGGGGGCATGCAAATTCACCCTCACTGGTGCACACAGCCACTGAGGCTTTAGATATTACTTTGATTATTAACCTAGCTTGGCCAAGATATAGTTTACATGCAATAAAATTCTACAGTGTTCAAGTTCTGACAATGTGGGAGGCTGTGCTCTAGACCACCACAATAAAGACATCAATGCTCTCCAAAGCCTGCAAAGGTCCCATGTGCTTTGGGGGTCATTCCCCTCTGGATCAGGCATCTGCCAATTCCTGAGCTTCCTGTCACAACAGCTCCCTTTCTACAATGTCACACAAATACTACACTCAGCAGCAGATCAACTGCTACCAACACGGTCTTCCTAGGGCTGATGAGACAGCTCAGTGGTTAGAGCAGATTCACTTCCCAACAACCCACACATTGAGCAGCTCAAACTACCTGGAACTCCAGCTTCAAGGAATCAGGTGCCTGATGCAGAATATTATTTTTTAAGGTGTGCTACTTTTGTTTATGCTCTGGAACATTTGCTTAATGATGCAAAGATGTGTTTGATTAGATAAAATTCCCCTGTAGTCAGGATGCTGGGTCAGCAACTAGCTGACGGGAAGTTGTAGGAAGGAGCCAGGTAGAGAAGGGTTTATAAGGAGAGGCAAGAAAAAGCACAAGTATTTCTCGGGGACACAAAGAGGTGAGCTAGGAAAGCTGCTTGCTATTCGGCCTCTCTGGGAAGCAGGATTCTACCTCAACCTTTGGATCGTGAGTTCTTTAGTGGGACAGAGATTTAAATACGTTTCCTTAGTAGCTTTAAAATAGTTGGTGTGAGTGGCAGTAGACTTGCAGTTGCTCGCTAGGATAGCCATAGCTTAAAAGGCAGCAACAATTAAAAAAGAAAACACAAAAGATGCCTTTTTCTGGCCTCCATGGGCACCTGCATTTTACACGTGTGAACACATACAACTAAAATTGTTACTCATTAAAAAAAAATCCTCCAAGATTTTAATTGGCATTTCATCAAAAATTCACTGAGAATATCTTAACTTCCCTGGGTATTATGATCCATTAATATGGTGTATCTTCCTGTTTATTTTGATAAATTTATAGTTCTCAGCAGTATTTTGTACTTGGAAGTAAGTGCATAGATACTACATATTTGTGACTCTCTGTGAGAGAGGACATACATGTACCATGGTGTATGTGTAAAGGTCAGAGAATAACTTTGGGCATTGGTCCTCACCGTCTACTTGGTAACTGTGTCCTGCTTTCCATGGGTCCTGGGGATCCAAACTCAGGCCCCCACTGGTGCTTTGCCTCATGAGCCCATCTCCCCATCCCGACACAGGTTTTCTTAAATGGAACGCTAGGGGTTTCATATTCTTTCCTTCCTCCCTTCCTTCCTTTCTCCCTCCTTCCCTCCCTTCTTTCCTTCCGTGTGTGTGTGTGTGTGTGTGTGTGTGTGTGTGTGTGTGTGTGTGTGTGGTTGTTTGTTTTTCGAGACAGGATTTCTGCGTACCCTGGCTGTCCTGGAACTGGCTCTGTAGACCAGGCTGGCCTCAAACTCAGAGCTCTGCCTGCCACTCACATTTCTATGTCACAAAAACGGAATTTTGCAAAAGTCTTGACACAAAACTGTTTCAAAAACACAAGAACGACACTACCTTTTTGTTTTATGATGCTGGAGATCGAAGCTTAGGGCCCACATGATGCCACTGAGCTGCCTCCCCAGCACCCCAAAATGTTCATTTCCAATTCTCCATTTCTGGTTATTTTTATATATTGATCTTGTGTCCTCAACTTAGTCTCAATTTCTTTTTCCAGTTCTAAAAGATTCTTTGCAGATTACAAATTGTAACATGTACAGCCATTTGTATGTAAAGAAGGGGTTTTATTTCCTCCCTTTCTATCTGAATAGCTGTTACCTTTCCCCCTTATAACATGCAATCCACAGGGCACCTGAAGCCACCCTGAATGGAGTTGATGATAATGGGTATTTGCCTTAGTACAAGTTTGAGTAGGTTTGCACACAATCTTTCTACATTAATCAGGATGTTACTTAGACTTTTGTTTGTTTTTGGTTTTTCAATTATTTGGCTGATTTTTGAGACAAGGTCTCTTTATATATTAATAGGCCTAGAATTGTGATTTCCCTTGCCTCAGCCTCCTGAGTGCCAAGAATGAAGATGTAACCCAACACATTTGACTCTAGGAAGTTTTTTTTTTTGTTGTTGTTTGATTGGTTGCTTTTTCGAGGTAGGTTCTCTCTAAGTAGCTGTCCTGGAACTCACTCAGACCAGGCTGGCTGTGAACTCAGTTCACCTGTCTCTGATTCGAAAGTACTGGGATTAAAGGTTAGCACCACCACACTGGGCTAGAATTTCTACAATTAGCTACTTGGGGATGATGTAGACTTCCACATCTATGTATGTGACTATTAGAGGGCAGTTTTCTTCTATTTTTAAAATGTCTTTGATGTTTGCTTCACAAAATGAATTTAAAAGTGTTTATTTCTTCCTTTTCTTTTTAACATTACAAAGGACAATGTGACAAAGACCATTCTCTTTTTCCACATGGATCCCTGGGATGGAACTCAGGTCATCAGGTTTGGCAGGAAGCACCTTTACCTGCCATTGCCCACCCTATTTCTCTTTTTATTTCCTGACACTGGCATTATTTCTTCCTCAAATGTTTCTCAGATTGATATTATTTCTTCTCTCCATTCACAAATGGAGCCAAGGCCTGATGTTTCCTTGAGGGAAGGTTTTCAATGACCAAGTCCTTTTGCTCAACATACACAGGGCTCTTCATGCTGCCTGTTTGGTTTTGTTTGTTTATTTTGTTTTTTTGAGGCAGGGTTTTTCTGTGTAGTTAGCTCTGTAGACTAGGCTGGTCTCGAACTCAGAGATCCACCTGCCTCTACCTCCTGAGTGCTGAGATAAAAGGCATGCGCCACCACCACCTAGATAGTCTGTTTCTTCTTGAGGGAGCTAGAGAAATTCTTCCATTTCCTCTTTAAGAGATTCATTAGCATAAAGTTGTAGGTAAGGTCTTTGATTGTCCTTCTGTGTTTTTGAGACAGGGTCTAACTCTGTCTTTGCTTTGTAGACCAGCCTGCCTGTGCCCAAGTGCTAGGTTTAAAGGTGTGCACTCCTATACCTGGCTGAATTGTCCTTTTAATATCTGTGGAAATGCCCCTCCTTTATTGCTCACAGTAATGACTTACATTTTATAGACATTCATTGACAAGCATGATCAACCATCTTTTCAAAAGCAAACAGCTTTTCCATGACCTACCTTTCTCTGGGTTTCACATATCCTTTTTTTAACTCTTAGAAGAAAACCTGGGTCACTAAACTCAGACCTCTCTTGCCACTTAGTAAAATAACAATATTTACTATCTTAAATATATCCATAGGTACAGTCTTAATGGCATCTCATATATTTTAATTTCCCTTACAGTTTTGTTGTTGTTTTTTGAGATGATTTCTCTGAGTAACAGCCCTAGCTGTCCTGGATCTAGCTCTTAGGCCAGGCTGGCCTTGAACTCCTGAGGCTGGGATTAAAGGCATGCACCATCACCACCTGGTAAATGTGTAGCCCAGGCTGGCCTTGAACCCAGGATCTCATGCCTCTGCCTCCTTCAGCAAATCCTACTGGCGTGCACCACCACAACCAGCCGTTTGTTTTTGAAATGTGGAGGTCTGCTTTTTAATTTCCAAGCAGTTAGAGACCTCCCAGATGTCTTACTGTTGACCCCTCTCTTTTTCCTATATTGCACAAGTGTCAACTGGATCAAACTACTCAACACTGGTGTTCAAGCTTTTTAATGTCCCTATTTCCTGTTTATTCGGTCAGGACAGAGGGATGTGCCACATCACTGTCAATTCTCACTTGTATTCCACGTATGTAGAAACACTGTTAACGGCTATCTGTATACATGTGATCTAAACGTACCTTTGAAATGCCTCTTTTTACCCCCAGTAACATCCTGTTCTGACCATTTCTTAGTAATATAACCCCTCCAGCTGTCTTTTGATTACTATTAATATCTATACCTTTCCCCAGTATTTTGGCTTGAACCAACTGTGCCTTCCTATTGAATAGTGGTTCCTTTTCTCTTTTTCACCAGAGATTTACAAGACTTTGCACTGGGCTATATAAGCCCAGCCCTAAATGTGTTTTCTTGTTGTTTTGGTGCTAAACAGTGAACTCAGAACTTTTAGTATGCCACATACATGCTTTGCCTCAGAGCTACATCCCCATCTCCAGACCCACATGATGGCAGGGAAGAGGTTCCCTGTAATTCTGACCTTCCCTCCTCTGTGAGCACTGTGCCTTTTTCTTGTTTGAGGAGCCATTTTGTTTTGTTTGAGACAGGGGTGTCTGTATAGTCCTGGCTAGCCTAGAACTACTTATGTAGACCAAGTCGACCTTGAACTCACAGCGATCTATTTTATGAATTTTCCCCCCAAATCCACCTAATTTCTTTTGTTGTTTTGTTCTGTTTTAGAGATGATATCTTACTATGTAGGCCAGGCTGGCTTTGAACTTGCAGTGTTCCTCTTGCCTCACTCTCTCCAGTGCTGGGATTATAAGAATGTGTCACTATGACACAACAGCCTTCACCTATTTTACCTTTTTCTTTTGACAAGTTCTCACTATGCTCTGGCCATCCTAGAACTCACTTATGTAGGCCAGGCTAGCCTCAAACTCAGATCTACCAGCCCCTGCCTCCCCAGTACTGGGATTAAAGGTGTTCACTACCACACCCCATCTAGCACCTAGGTTCCTGCCTTGAATTTCTGCCTTGACTTCCCTTCATGATGGTCTGTGATCAGAATGTAAGCCCTTTCCTCCCCAAGTTGCTTT